TGGAGCTAATTAAGCAGCGACTCAAAGAACCAAATACCCAGAGCTCCCCAGCCAGGCGGCCAGCAGGCGGAGCCTGGCACCAATGGCGCACTGGCCGCCCGGGAACGGCTCACCATGTGCCCATGGCGGCCGTCTGGGATCCAGGCATGAGACGCCCTGTCCTGAGACCCACCAGCTGCTGGGAGGCTGCTGGAGGTTTAAATTCCCAGGCCCAAGGTTGCGCCCCTCCCAAATCCCCTTCACCGCCCAATGAGGGTGGCGGGTGGGTGCCGGACCTGCCCAGTCCCAGAGGCCTCCCCCCCTCGGTCTACTCACCCCAAAGGAAGCAGCCTCTGGAACCCAGCAGGCCTGGACACGGCTCACCATGAAAAGCTTCCAGTCTTTCCCTATTTAGTGTGATGTTTGCATTGAGGGTTGTTTTTTTTTTTTTGTTTTGTTTTGTTTTGTTTTTTTTTTTGTATATTGCTTTGATTGTGTTGCAGGTTGCTCTTTTTACGCTTATCTTGCTTAAATGGAGTTGGATTTTATCAAATGCCTCCTGTGCACTTAATCAGATGATCATGTGGTTTATTTAAAGATTTAGTTATTTTTATTGGAAAGGCAGATATACAGAGAGGAGGAGAGACAGAGGGGAAGATGTTCCTTCTAATGATTCACTCCCCAAGTGGCCACAGTGGCTGAAACTGAGCCAATTTGAAGCCAGGAGCCAGGGGCCTCTTCCAGGTCTCCCACGTGGGTGCAGTGTCCTAAGGCCTTGGGCCGTCCTCCACTGCTTTCCCAGGCCACAAGCAGGGAGCTGGATGAGAAGCAGGGCCACCGGGATTAGAACTGGTGCCCATATGGGATCCCGGGCATGCAAAGCGAGGACTTTAGCCACTAGGTTATCGTGCCAGGCCCGATTTTTATTTTTCACTTTGTTGATGTGGTATATCACATTTATGGATTTGCGTATGAGAAGCCATCCTGCATGCCAGCAACAAATCACACCTGGTCTGGGGGAACGATCTGTCTAATATATTGTTGGTTTCTGTTGTATAATATTTTATTAAAGATTTTTGCTTCTATGTTCATCAGGGATATCAGTCTACAGTTCTCTTTTTCTGTTGTGTCTCTGGCTTTGGTATTAAGGTAATGTTCGCTTTGTACAAAGAGTTTGGAGGGATTGCCTTGCTTTCTATTTTTTTAATAGCTTGTGGTGGATTGAGGCAAATTCTTAGTGAAACATTTTGTTGAATTCAGCAGTGAAGCCATCCAGTCCAGGGCTTTTCTTGGTTGGGAGTGATTTAATTACTGATTCAATTTCAGGTTCAGTTATAGGCCCATTTACATTATTCAATCGTGATTCAGTTTTGGTAGATTGTATGTGTCCAAAAATCTATCCATTTCTTCTGAGTCTTCAGATTTGTTGGTTTATATAATGTTGTCAGTATGGTTTTCCTGATAGGACCACTGCAATGCATTGAGCCAGATGTCAGCTCTCTCCTGGCTTAGTGCACAAGCAGCTCACTGTTGTCCCTCCTCCAGAGCCTCTGTTCTACTTTACAGATTGGTGCCCAATGCTGCACTGGTGGGGTCTGGAACATGAAATTCACTATATTCATACACCCAATCGCATGGGCTCTGTCACTCTGTTTCTGCCCATGTTAGAATTGAACAAGTCAGCGGGACTCGTGATTCTATGGCTTAGTTCACCTCCTGAGTTAGTGAACTCCACTTCCCACCTGGCCACCAGTGGAGCTCCTGTCACCAATCACCACTGGAGTATCTGTTCACTGCAGCACTGCTCTGCTGTCTCTGCTGCTTCCCCACATCCACAGGTGTCCAGGTGTCCCTCTGCCACCAGCATGTACTCTCCTATTTCTTGGGATTGTGCCCTATCTGCTTTACCTCAGCTAATCCTTCTATGTTTAAACCTGTCCTCACTCTATTTTATAGAATCGTTTCTGTATCTTGCCAGATACATGCTAATAGTATTTTACTGAGACTTCATTAATATCTGTTCAAAAGAGATGATAATCTATATTTTCTTGCATTATATGCCTTTTATTTTGATACTGTGGCAGTACCAGCCTCAGAAAATGAGTTGAAACTTATTTCCATCTCTGATTTATCGAAGAGTTTGTGAAAATTGGTTAAATTTTCTTGAAATATTTGCTATAATTCACCAACTATGCCTGGACTTTTCTTGGTGCAAAATTTTTAAATTATCAATTCAGTTTATTTATTTATTATATGTTTATTTTTTTCCTAGAATTTGTTCTGGTAGTTTGTTATCTTTCTAGGAATTTGTCTGTTTCATGTAAGTTATATAAGATGTTGACACACTCTTGTTCTTAGTATTCCCTAAGGATCCTTTTGATTTCTGTGAAGTGGGTAGTGATGACCCTTCTTTTATTTCTGATTTTAGTCATTTGAGTCTTCTCATTTTTTTTATTACTCTGCAAAAAGATTTGTTAATTTTGTTATTTTTCAAATAGCTAACTCCTGCTTTCTTTGATTTTTTTTCCTGTTTTTTTTTTCTGTCCTCTAATTTTTCCACATTAATCCAGCTTTGGATTTAGTTTCCTCTTTTTTCCTATTTCATGAGATCAGAAGTTAGACTATTAATGTAAAATAATTTGTCTTAGGTAGCCATGACAAAATGTCATTGACTGGGTTGTTTGAGCAACAAAGTTTATTTTTTTCCGCAGGGCACCAGCATAGTCAAGTCATTATGGTTTGTAGATGACATCCACTCCCTATGTCTTCATATGTTCCATGAACATGAAGTGTCTTTCCTTTTGTCCCTTCAGTTTCTTTTAAGAAAGCTTTTGCAGTTTTCATTACAGAGATCTTCCACCTCACTTAATTTATTGTTACATTCCTTTTGTAGCTATGGAAAGTGAGGTTGCTTTCCAGATCTTTCAAACAATTCACTACCAATATATAATAACAACTGATTTTGTACATTGACTTTGTATCCTGCCACTTTGAATTTTTTTTTAACATTTATTAATTTTTATTGTAAAGTCAAATATATAGAGAGGAGGAGAGACAGAGAGGATGATCTTCCATCTGATGATTCACTCCCAAGTGGCTACAATAGCTAGAGCTGAGCCAGTCCAAAGCCAGGAGCCAGGAGCTTCCTCATATCTCCCACATGGGTGCAGTGTCCCAAGGTTTTGAGCCGTTCTCCACTGCTTTCCCACTCCACAAGCAGGGAGCTGGATGGGAAGTGGAGCTGCCGGGATATGAACCAGTACCCATATGGGATCTTGGCACATGCAAGGCAAGGACTTTAGCCACTAGGCTACCACATTGGACCCACTACTTGGATTATTTTGGTTATTCTAACATTTTTGCTGCCTGTTTTTCTACATAAAGATTTCTTGGAATGTAATCATTGCCCATACATTCAAACATTCACTCTGATAGAATTAAGTACTTGCAATGCAGACTGTGTAATTTGCAAAAACTAAATTTAGTGTCTGTCTCTTTACATGAAGAATGCTACTGTCTACTTCAGTTAATAAGGCTAAATGCAGAACCTTTTATTTTTACAAGTGTAAGTTTTTCTGTCATAAATATGAATTGCCAGGAGTAGTAACTGCCAGAGACCCATTCTGGCTGACTCGAGAGCTTGCAAAGGATGCGTGGATCAGTGAGAAGATAAGAAGGGGAGAGATGGGACGTGGACCATTACAGCATGATGCTCATAATGGACAACTCAGAAAAGTTGCCTTCTTTATTTAGACACAAATCATCACAAGCTTTTGCACAACATCCAATTGTTTCATTTTTACTTCATTATAAAAGAATGATTACAAAATCAATCCTAAAAAACATTATTGTTATTTTACTTCAGAGAAAGTATTTTCAGCAAGCTATTACTCATTCAAACCTGCTGTGACCTAGCTGAAGCCAGGAACTCCACGGTTTGTAGCACATGCAGTTACGTAGTGACAAGTGGTTTACTTACATCCAAAATCACTTTTCACTAAAACATAAGCTAACTACTATTATTTAAAATATCAAGAGTGCAGAATTAAAAGAGAAGCTCATAAATGAAAGGAATTTATAAAAGTATATATCATAGATTCTTTAGTAAATCTTATAATCAATCATGCATTAATTACCGCCACCTTCACCTAGTGTTGATTCAATTGTTTTTTGATCTTTTGTTAAAGGGCAGTGAAAGGGATCAGGGCAACTCAGCCATTCTACAAACAGAGGGCCTTTACAAGAAACTTCTTTTTATCTTTATAAACTATTTTGTTTCCCTAAATATAAGTGCCAATATAAGGTAGAAGTTTTAAGCCATTTTTGGGGAGAGTTCACAATATTTTGGTTCCCTTAGAAGATGCCCCATATACTTTCTGCTTTCCATGGTGAGAAACCAAAATGCATCATGTCATGTGTTGTAACAGTTCAAGGTGCATGGTAAACAAACTCTTTGTACCTCCATGATTGCCATCTGTTCCAAGATATTATCAAGCCATTTCTTAAGGAAAACTTTACTTGTATTAACACAAGCTTCAGGACAAAGGTGGGCACATAACAGGATGTTTGGAGACATTGTGGGCTCAATTGTACTATTGTATGATTTTAGCTGTGTGTCATTGCCTTACACCCCTAAATATGTTTTCATCATAACATGATTGATCAGTTTGAGGTGTTAATACCAGTTACAGGAATTATTTCACATTTGCAGAAAAACAACACCACCACCCTCAGGAGAATTCTGTGAAACATCAGATAGGTGATCAAGTGTCGATACAATGGGGTGAGGCAGCAATGAGGTGACCAGAGACATTCTGCCAGACCTTGCCATGCAGCCAGAAACTCCTCGTAGCCTAGCTAACTGAGGAATAGTGCTCATCACACACCCATGCCATCTGGCCCAACAACATGACTTCCCGCAAATAAATATGAAAAATTTTTTTAAGATTTTAATTAACACAAAGATAAAAGCAAGCAAGTTTGTAATATAAAACATTATCTTTTCTGTTTTTCCAACATAGATCTGGTAGCTCAACGAGGAGAAAGATTGGAATTATTAATAGACAAAACAGAAAATCTTGTGGACTCAGTAAGTATGGAATGTGATCTTTTTTTGTTCAGAATATGAAGCAAAGAAACTAAAAATGATGATTGACATAATAGTGAAATTCACAACTGTGAGGTTTTCTTTTTTTCCTTTCTTGTCACCAGTTTGTGATTATGTTACATTGTGATAATTAGGGCAACAGGGAAGAAAACATTAACGAGGCTTTGGCTTGAAAAACATACTATACAGGGATAATTTTCTAAAGCTTTTACTGATTCCTACATAATTTATTATCTCAGCTGAATATACCAGTCTTACCTGTAAAAAATTATAATGCATGAAGCGAATGTACAAACCAGTTTGGACTCAGGGTGAGCCTTGGAAACTGAACAATTAATTTAATTTACAGTAGTAGCTTGAAATTTCCTTGCATCACACAGGAGACAGGGATTGTAAAGACCCATAAGCTTTCAAGGAGACGTTGTAACTTTGTGAGCCAATTATGGTAGTTACATATATCTACATTTTCCCATGTGATATATATAGGAAGGTTTTGAAGAAGGAAAGATGGACGAAAGAAAGGAAGAGATCAACTACAATTTGGATGATTATAATTCCAAACTTAAATGTAGAATAGGAGAGAATCAAGATGGCAGAATAGGGTAAGGACACGTTAAAATAAATGAAGAAACATTACCCAGTGTGAAGCAAGAGAGGGCACATTCCAGGAAATAGGAGAGGACAGAACAATGGTAGAGAGGTACCTGGAGACTGACAGACACAGGAAAGCAGTGTGGTGTTGCAGTGACTGATACCCAAGCAGCATTCAGCAAGTGGTGATCTAAACTACACTAGCAACCTGAACTCCACCAGCAACAAGGTGGGAAGGGATGTTCACCGGGAGCTCAGGAGGTGAACCCAGACAAAGAACTGCTTGTCCTGCTGGTCTGTTAGATTTGACCAGGAGCAGGGGCTTAGAGGCAGGTCCCAGATGGGCAGTGCAAGAACAGGGTGAATTTCACAACCCAGTCTGTCCCCTAAAGCTGAATTGGGTGCCATTTTATGTAGAGAGGAAAAGGTTATGGTACAGGACTGAGCATGCACTGAGCTGGGAGTGAACTCATTTCTGGCTCAATGAACTGCAACAACGTGGCATCCTACAGGTTGCACCCAAGACAGGTATAGGTAGCACTCAGACCTGACGGCCAGCAGATCCAAAACTGCACAAGTGGCATATCAGGCACCATTTTGTACAGTGCAGCAAAGGCTTTAAGACTGCAGGGACAACAGTGAGCTGCACATGCACTGAGCTCGGCTAGAACTCACTGAGCTCAGGGCATTGCACTGGTCCCACAGGAAAATAGTACCAACTTTGGCATTGCACGAGCCAAAATACATCCATTAGGCCCTCAGACCTAACGGCCAACAGGTTGCTGCAAGATCAGCAACACCAACAACCTAGCTATATAGGACACCTGGTGTCTCTCTAATCCTAGGACCTGCTCAAACCAGAAGTGGGAGAAAGGTTGCACAGACAACAGTGCAGCCTCAGCATGGGATTACAGGAGGTGGAGAGTGGTGAGTCAGGAGCTGGGCCTATGGAGACCATGGTGGAAATCTAACATAAGAACCCAGACCTGGAACTTGCTGAAGGAAGTGGCACAAGTGACTGCAAGCAAAGAGCCATGTACCAACTGCAATAAGTAAAATCAAAGTGTAGACCTGTGGGTGACAGAGCTTGGAAACCAGACCAAAGGAAAAGACTGCTAACCAGAAGTACAATGACCAAGAGCAAAAGAAGAGACAAAGGCACAATGGATATTACTGAAGATTCTTCTGCAAAGGAGCAAAAGCCTTTGCCAACCTCAGAGTTCACTGAGGAAGACATCAAGAAAATGGGGGACACAGAATTCAAAACACCTGTTGTAAAGCTTCTTATCAACAACGAGAAGCACGTACTACAGGGGTTCAAGGAATTTAAGGAATATGTCACACAGGAAATGAATCAAATGAAAGCTGATCTATCAGAAATGAAGAATATAGTGGAGCAAACAAAGTACAGCGGAGAGTCTCCAAAATAGAATGAAGGAGGCAGAAGAAAGAATCTCAGACTTGGAAGATATTTGGAAGAATATTGGAAGATATTTGAAGAACATTCCGGTAAAATAAATATCCCAAAATCAATGGAAACTATATCTCAAAACTCATTCTCACTGAACTCTTCACTGACCCATAGATCATGTAGCAGCATCATTTTCTTGAATAAAATTCTTGCTTTTCTTTTTCATTTCTTCAGTGAAACATAAGTCATTCATTTAATTTCTTCTTTTTTTTTTTTGCTTCCTGTTGTTGATTTTGTTTTGTGGTTTTTCATTTAAGGGGATGTATAGTAACTGTGTGATGGAGACTATTATATCCAGATGTGAGGATACAATGCAGTATGCATCTCTACTTCCAGACAAAGATGAACTCCCAATGAAACTGCTTACTATAACTTGACAATAGGATGCTGGACTCTGCCATTGTCCATGCCCGCAATGATGGACATATGACTATTTATGAACAACTATACTAGTAATAATACAGGGGAACTCAGGGGGTGGCAGTGAGGACTTGGGGAGTGGAGAAGGAAAATCCCAGGGCCTATGGAACTGTATCATAAAATGATAATAATAATAATAATAAAGTAAAAAATAAATAAATAAAACCGAAAAATATAGAGTAGAAATTTACACCTTGAAATAGTTCAGTTATCAATCATGTTCACAGATGCAGCAAAATTATAATGGCTAAGTTGTGACCTCTAAAACCATGTTACCGGGCCCGGCGCGGTGGCGCAAGTGGTTAAAGGTCCTCGCCTTGCACGCCCAGGATCCCATATGGGCGCCGGTTCTAATCCCGGCAGCCCCGCTTCCCTTCCAGCTCCCTGCCTGTGGCCTGGGAAAGCAGTTGAGGACAGCCCAAAGCTTTGGGAACCTGCACCCGCGTGGGAGACCCGGAAGAGGCTCCTGGCTTCGGATCGGCATAGTATCGACCCGTTGCGCTCACTTGGGGAGTGAATCATCGGATGGAAGATCTTCCTCTCTGTCTCTCCTCTCTGTATATCCGCCTTTCCAATAACAAAATAATAAAAATAAATCTTTAAAAAAAAAATAAATATAAAAAAAAATAAAACCATGTTACCTAGATTTGAACCTCACTGCTACCATTTATTAGTTCTGGGACCTTAAACAAGTTGCTTATTAAACTGATCTCTCTGTGCTTCAGTTTTCATCATCAAAATGGAGATGTACTTACTTCATAGCATTTTAAGAATTAAGTAAGATAATGCATACAGAGTACCTAACACAGAATCTGGCATCTACTAAGAAGTATTTAAGTATCTATTGTTAGTTTTAGTTTTATAGGTGCATTTATTAACAGCAGGGTTTTTTTCCCAAAACTTATTTCATTTATCTGAAAGGCAGGAGCAAGGGGTGGGAGGGTTTGGGAGAGAAATAGAGATATCTATAAGTTCACTTTCTTTTTTTAATTGTATTTTTGATGATGTTTACATAGTTGATTAGAGTGGGAAGGGTTGAGGATTAGGGTGGTGGGAAGGGTCGAGGATTATGGGAGAGTGGGTGAGACTATTGTTTACACATTTTCTCTTCCTGTATCTGGGGGAGTGGGGAGAGAAGGGGAGAAGCCTCACCCAGCAGCCTAACCGCCTCAATACCCAGGGGTGGGGAACAGCCACCAGATGTCATCCTGTGGTCCCTGATACGAAGCGTGTTCTGAGGGTTCTGCTCAAGTGATTTTGATAGTTCTAAAATGCTATTATTCTCGCAGATCCAAGCATGAGGAAATGCTTCCAAAGTTCGTTGGCTGAAGTAGTCTACCTCAGAGTCTCCATTCACCCAGAAATTTGCTGTCCAGCTTCGCTGGGATAGTTGACCAGTATGTTCTGCCCTCCTTCCTCTGCTTCCGCTATGCAAACCAGTGGGTGCTGCAGCCTAGCCCAACCCTGCTCACCACACACTCAGCCTTCACATACAGCCTGGGGAGCTGCAGCCCAGTCAGAACAACCACCAATAACCCTCAGTGTACCAGCCCCCAGCTCTGGTTCCTGTGCCTGCCAGCATGTGCAGTGGACTGGTCCAGTCTGTCTTGCATCCCATTGAGATCTCATAAACATCCCTGGGCATTGAAGCCTAACTCAACCCAACCAGTTTCATCCTCCAGCCCACACTCATGCCAGTGGGTGCCAGCACCTATCTAGCCATGCCCACCCCCAGCCCTGGTTCTCATGCTCACCATTGGGGAGTTGCAGCCCATCAGAGAGTGCCCACTGTTTCCTTTCTGAACCCACTCCCTGCTCCAGATCTTGCACTCTCTGGGTGGTTCTGCAGTCTAGCTACATAGGACTTGTCCCCAGTTCCAGCACTTGGCAGCTGTTGCTGATGCAAAGCCCACACCCACCTGCCCTTACACTGGCTCATACCTACACCAGTAAATACAATCAGTTAGTCCAACCTGGCTCACCCCCTAACCAAGTTCACATGCAAACCAACAGGTTCTGTAACCCTGCCCGGCCTGGTTTCAGCTTTCATGTTCACCAACAGGAGCAGTGGACCAATAGGGGAATTCCCACTGCTCCCCTCCCAGGCTTGCATGTGCTGGTGGGTGCTGCGGCCTAGTCTCACTTGGCTTGTCTCACCTCAGCATTTTCCGGCAGGTGCTATATCCTGACCCAGCCTAGTTGGCCCCTGTTCCAGCTTGTGTTTGTGGGTGCTGCTGCCCAAACCAGCCCAGCCTGCCCCCATTTCCAGCCTTAATGTGAACTGGCTGGTGCTGCGACTGATCTGGCCTCTCTGTACCACATCTTGGTTCTCACATATGCCAGTGGGTGCTTTGGAACTAGCCCAGCTTGGCCTGCCCCCAGGCACGACCCACGCACATGACAGCGGGTATTGTAACCTGTCCTGGCCTGGGCTGCTCCTTGCCTTGGTTCTTGCGCTAACCGGCACGAACTGCATCCTGACGAAGGATTTCCCCAAGCTCTTCTGTTGGGTCTACTTGCAGTGGCAGATCTCATGCACATTGGTAAGTCCTTGGCCAAGGCTGACTTAGTCCACCTCTTGTACTGGCAGGAACAGCGGCCTTCAACAGCAGGTGTTAAAAAGACTACAGACTACTGTTGAATTTTATATCAGTTTGTAAATAATTTTTTCATCAAAGCATAGGATAATTGGAAGAAGGGTGGTATCATACAGGAAGTCAAAACACCTGAGTTTAGATCTCACTTTGTGATGCATTCTTTACTAGAGAGAACAGGACAAAGAAGTATCCGATCTTAGATCTGCAGATCAGTTTCTTTGATACTGCCAGTCTGTAAGTATTCCTGAAGATTATCCCATTTATACTAGTCTGTACTTTTCAAAATAAAATCTTAATTGTGTGACTGTATGCCCTGTGATAACAAAAGTACAAAACGTACTAATGATACTTAATGGCAGAATAACATGCATACAGTAGGATGTTTCAAATATACTACTTTTAGATCTACAGCTGTTATTATTGATATAATGAATACCCATATAGTCACCACCCAGATCAAAACACAAAATATCTCCTACGTTCCAGAAGACATGGCACCTTGAGTTTATAGATGTAATCATGTTTCTAACTTTTATCACCATAGGTAATAGTTTCCCTATTAATTTTTCTAGAAACAGATTCATATGTACTTCTTTGTGTCTGTCCTCTTTCACTTACTGTTGTGTGTCTATAAGCTTTACCCATTTCATTGATTATTGAAATAATTTATTTTTTATTGCTTTCTATTGTTTCCCTGTATGAATCTACTTATTACAGTTTATTTATACATTCTCTGCTGTGGAACTTCATTTCTGGATTTTGTGTTGTATTCCATTTATTTGTCCACCTTTATACTAATACCACTCTGTTGATTACTGTGATTTCATAGAATTCTTTTTTTAAATTTTTACTTTTTTTTTATTATTATCATTTTATGATCCAGTCCCATTGGCCCTGGGATTTCCCCTATCCCCTCCCCAATTCCCTCGTCCCTCACTGAGTTCCCCCATATCATTACTATAGCACAGATCTTCATACACAGTCATATGTCCATCATTGCGGGCATGGACAATGGACAAAGTCCAGCATTCTGTTGTCAAGTTATAGTAAACAGTTTCATTGGGAGTCCATCTTTGTCCAGAAGCAGAGATGCACACTGTATTGTATCCTCACATCTGGATATGATAGTCTCCATTACACAGCTGCTATACGTCCCCTTAAACAAAAAGCCACAATACAACATCAATAACAGGAAGAAAAATAGAAATCCACAATGCCATGAAGAAAAACAACATGCTGCTAGACATGATAATCTGCTACACAGTCACCACACGTCCCCCCATATAAAAAGCCACAAAACAAAATCAATAAGAAGAAAAAAAAAAGAAACTAACAACGCTATGAAGTTAAATAACATGCAACTTAATAACCAATGTGTCGCTGAAGAAATGAAGAAGAAAATCAAGAACCTTATTGAAGAAAATGATGCTACTGTGTGATCTATGAATCAATGAATAATTTAATCAGAAGAAAGATTTGAAGAGATGAAACTAACAAAAAAATCAATCAGAATTCATGGGATGTAATTTCCACTGATCTTTATTAGTAAGATATGTCTCCTGTAAGCAACAAATAGATGAGTTTTGTTTTTAATCCAATCTACCAATCTATGCCATTTGATTGATGAGCTTAAGTCATTTACAGTCAGGGTTAATATGTGTGGATGGTAATTTGGTCCTGTCATTTTAGGAATGGGTTGTTCATTGGTTTAGTCTTTTGTTGTCATTTTACTGGGATGTTCTTCCCATTTGCCTTTGGTTTGGGGGTGCTATTCCTCTTCTCTGTCAAGAGAACATCTTGAAGTATCGTTTGTAGGGCAGGTTTGAAAGAGGTATATTTTAACTTTTCTTTACTGTGGAAGAATTTTATTTCATTTTCAAAGACAAAAGAAAGCTTTGTTGGATATGTTATCTTAGGCCGACAATTTTTTTCTTTTAGAATCTGGAATATGTCACTCCATTCTCTTCTTGCCTGTAGTTTCCTGTGAGAGGTCTCCTGTGAGTTTAATTGGTATTCCTTTATATGCTAATTGATTCTTTTTTAACATGCATATTTAAGGATCTTTTCCTTCAGTTCAATTGAAGAGAGCTTGATGATCATGTGTGGTGGTGAAGATCACTTTTGATCAAGCCTGTTGGGAGTTCTGTGTCCCTCCTGGATCTTGTTTCCCAATTCTTTCTCCATATTAGGGAAATTTTCCTTGATTATTTCATTAAATACATTTGCAAACTCAGCTTCTCTTACAATGGGGTATTTATTACCTCTTACATGTTAGGATGGATATTTTCAAAAGACAAAAGATAATAAGTGCTAGTGAGTATGTAGAAATAGTGGAAAATGCCAGACACAGACAAATACTACAGTAACTCCTTTATATATGGAAGCTTAAAATGTAAATGTAGGGCCTGGCACGGTGGCTTAGTGGCTAAAGTTCTCGCCTTGAACACGCCAGGATCCCATTTGGCCACTATTTTGTGTCCCAGCTGTTTCACTTCCCATCCAGCTCCCTGCTTGTGGCCTGGGAAAGCAGTGGAAGATTGCCCAAAGCCTTGGGACCCTGCACCCATGTGGGAGACCTGGAGGAGGTTCCTGGCTCCTGAGTTCGGATCTGCTCAGCTCCTGCCGTTGCGGTCACTTGGGGAATGAATCATCAAACAGATCTTCCTCTTTGCCTCTCTTCCTCTCTATATATCTGACTTTGCAATAAAAGTAAATAAATCTTTTTTTAAAATGTAAATGTGCAAGTATAGAAGCAAAAAGTAAAAAAAAATAAGTTGTTGCCAAGGGTCAGGAAATTTGGGTAAAGAAGCGATATTGATCAAAGTATACACACTTACACTTAAAGTTCTGCAGACCTAATGTATAGCATATAGCACAATGACTGTAGTTAATAATAATTATTCAGTAATTAAAATATGTTCTGAGAATTCACCACACAAATGAAAAGTAACTGTGTGGTGATGGATATGTTATTTAATGATAATCATTTCACAATGTATACATATATCAAAACATCACTTTGTATACCTTGAGTGTATAGTTTTCATTTTCAGTTATACCTCGAAGTAGAAAGAAAATTAAGTATAACAGGAACAAATAAAAATTTGAAATTTTGGAATGTTACTGAGAGATGAGAAATATGTGCCATTTTTTGTTATGATTGCCATGTATGGGATGGATCAATGTAAATATTCAAGTCATTTTTTGTTTTGGGATGTGTTCTCCTTTTGGTCCCTTGGTTATTGCTTCTTCTGTTTTTGCTATATTCACTCCCTCTGTAACTGTTAATAGCTGCTTAAATCAATATCAAGCACATATTTAAGTATCATTGATTATATAAGTGTGTCTCAGATTTGCCTGATAGTTTTTCCATTTATCTTACATTTTACATCATACATTTATTTTACATTTACACTTACATTAATTCACATCTTAACCATATTTTGTTACGTATTCTGAGGAAAATTTTTATTCTCACAACTGTCTAGTAATTTATGTACTGCATTCTATAATTTTTAATTAGGCCTCATTTTATTAACATATTGTCTCATTATCTAAATTTAGCTTTTTTTCATGTGCCATCACCTGTGACTTTAACTCAGTGCCATGATGTCTTGTGTCTGAAGGTGCTTGTTAGAAATGTTATTACTATTCTCTCCATTAAGGGCTGTTTACTTCTATTTCTTAGCTTTCTATTCTCATTTAGCTCCTGTTTGTCATATGTCCTAGTTAATATACATGTTTTATTCAGTGCATGCGTTTAGGGCTAGATGTAATTAATTTTGTTATTTAGAGTCTAGGCACTTGGACGTTGGGTTCCTGCCTGCGTTGAATATCTTATGTACTAAAGTGAAATCCAAGGGTTGGTGTGGAAAAGATGGGTGGAGTTGAATGTAGCATTAAAGGATACACACACACACACATGCATATATATATATGTTATATAGAGAAATGTATGTAACGTATATGGAGAAAATTCTGTTGACCATTAAGAGTATGGCTTGTATTTTCACAAAGTGAACATAGCTGTGGAACCAACGCCTATGTTAAGGACTAGAGCACAACTAACATCCCAGAAATCCTTTTCTGCCCTTTTCTATTTACTATAACCCTCTGCAGGTGAGCACAGTCCCAAATCCCCTGCATAGATAAATGTGGCATTTCTTTTATGTCAAAGGTCTTTTACTCAAAATTGTGTCTGTGGGATTGATCTCATTTAGATTATTGTCATTGGTACATTGCATTTTATCATGTTACTCTCACATAATCTATTTGTTGATAGGTCTTTGAGCAGTTTCCAGACTGAGGAATGCAGTTTTAAGTTTGGGCAGTCACACAAGTAAATGTTATCTTCCTGCAGAAAAAAAATAGATTTTTATGTCTCAAAATCATAGTATTATAATGAGAAAAACAGGTGAATGTGCTTGCAGCCAACTGGTGTAAAAGGAGCCTTTCTTAATGGAACTGTAAAGAGGAAAATGTTTTCCGCTAATGAAAAGTACCACCTTAAGTGCTCAATATCATGCACTTTGCTATAGTGGAGAAAACAAAACAAAACAAAAAGGAAAGTGTTTCCTTTGGGTAGGACTCTGTTTTGATGAGCTAATGATTATGAATGGCTAGTTTCTACTTATAAAGATGAGGGAAAGGAGTAAGAAGTATTGCTACTTAAGCAGAGTTTATTTTCAAGGTGTTACTATAAATTATTCATGCAATCACTGTCAGAGATTAAATAACTCATACTTTTTTCCAGTCTGTCACCTTCAAAACTACCAGCAGAAACCTTGCTCGAGCCATGTGTATGAAGAATCTCAAGCTTACTGTCATCATCATTGTTGTATCAATTGTAAGTTTTTGTGTTCTAGTGTGTGCTTCTGTTTTTCGTTTCTAAGAAGTTACAGACTTAGATTCTTTCTCAGTAATTAAGAGTCTTAAATGAGCTATGTATATCTTGCTGGTGAAACCTGTGACCAAGCACTTCCACTTGAAGTTACCATGAACTATTATCTCATGGTCAGCGTGTACTATAGAATGTTGAGTCATCACCTACAATGCCAGAATCCCTTATGGGCACTGGATCACATCCCAGCCAGTCCAGTTCTCATCCAGCTGCCAGCTAATCTGCATACTGGGAGGCAGCAGATGCTGGCTCAGGTGCTTGGGTTTCTGCCACCCATGTGAATTCCACCAGATAGAATTCTTGGCTCCTGGCTCCTGGCTTTGGCCTAGCCAGCCCTTCCTGTTGCAGCCATTTGGGGAGTGAACTAACCAACTGAAAATCTCTTTCTCTCTCCCTCCCTCCCACCTTCCTTGTCTTTATGTATTTTGAAGCAGTAAGTGCAATAATTAAAATATTTGTATATATTATGTCCACTTAAACCTTTCTTCTGCTGAGAATTTTTATATATAATAAAATATACAAACGTCACCTCATAGAAAGATATTTTTAATAAAATCCATTTAATTTGTAAAACGTTTTAATTAAATGTGTTTTCTCTGTTTTGAAAAGGTGCATTCACACATAGATGGGGAGGGAGAGACCTTTCATCCTCTGGTTCACTCTCCAGAACCTATAGGAGCCAAAGCTGAACGAGGCCAAAGCCAAGATCCTGGAATTCATTCCATATCTGCTGTGTTGGTGTCAGGGACCCAATTATTCTTCCATTAGCTGCTGCCCCCCCCCACGGAGTACCCATTAGTGGGGAACTGAGTCAGAAGCAGAACTGAGACTCAGATGCAGGGCTAACTTAACCACTGTTCAAAATATCTACTACATCTATGTCTAAGTTTTAATTATTTTTATTTATTCATTTGGTTTTTAAAGATTTACTTATTTTTATTACAAAATCAGATATACAGAGAGGAGGAGAGATAGAGAGGAAGATCTTCCATCCGATGATTCACTCCCCAAGTGGGTGCAACAGCTGCAGGATCCCAAAGCATTGGGCCATCCTCCACTGCTTTTCCAGGCCACAGGCAGGGAGCTGAATGGGAAGTGGAGCTGCCGGGATTAGAACCGGTACCCACATGGGATCCCTGCGCGTTCAAGGTGAGGACTTTAGCCACTAGGCCACACCATCGCGTCTTAATTATTTTTATTTGTTAATGTGAAAGATTTTCAGAGAAAGAGAGAGACAAATAGATCTTCCATTGAATGGCCACAATGGCTTGCAGTGGGCCAAGCTGAAACAAGCAGCAGGTCTCTGAAGTGTGTGGCATGGGCCCAAACATTTGGGTCATCTTCCATTGCTTTTTCCAGACCATTAACAGGGAGTTAATTGAAAGTGGAGCAACCAGGACTCAAACAAGCACATATATAGGATGCTGGGATTACAGGCCACGACTTTACCTGCTCTGCCACAATGCTAGCCCCAAGTTTTAATTTCAAAAATGGCAAATACTGATGTTTATCATTCACCTAGGCAAGAGTTCTTTGGAGACCTCATTAATTTTAAAGAGTATAATGAGGTTGTAAACTGAAAGTCTTAGAACTATTGCTAAAAGTGGTGGAGTGCTTTATCCTGGTGTAGTTCATGGCTAGGTAAAGCTGCTTCTCTCTCTGTTCACCAGTCACTTGCAGAAGCCCAAAATTACCTTCAAGGTCTGAACCACTTCTCTGCAACCTCTGGGTGAGGCTTGCCCACTTTCAACAGCTGAACCTATCTAACAAAAAACAAGCAATCATAGCTGCATAAATTTTGTAATGAAAATAGCTGCCATGAATGTGAGTGCTTTCTTGCTCAGGATCATCAGGTGACAAAGTCTAGACTGCTTAGTCTAACTTCTTATTCTTTGGTTTGGGAATTTAGATTAACAGCTGAACTGTAGTTAAACTTGAAATATATGTACAGATTACCTATCACATGCAGAGTACTGCTCTAAATGTGGTATTGACCTTCATAAAAAGTTGTTGTCATCAAACATGTGATACTTACGCTTAGCAAGTATCCCGTTTTAAGGCTATAACAAAGTCAGCTTTCTATCATTGGCAAACTTTCGTTTGGAGAATATAGGTATGTGTGAGTGTCTCTGTGTGATATGACATGAGTGCTTTAGCCTATTTATCAACAATCAGGATTTTCTGTAACACCCTACCCATTCCCCTGCAATATTTATGAGGAAGACAAAATACTTCCTAATTTAGGAGGGTTGGGGACATGTAACTCATGAATGCATTTTCCAAGCATATGAATAAGTAAATAGATCACTTTGATATCTCAAAGTTGTTATTTAAAGCAAAATAAAAGACTAATTTAATGTAGTAAACTTAATGTTTAAATATAATTTCAACATCATGAGCAACTGCCTAGTGTTTTTTAAAAATGTCTTAAATTTTTTTTAAAAATGTCTTAAAATTCTTACTATGCCCCATAGGATTGGCCTTATGGCATAATGGGTTAAGTTGCTACCTGCAATGTTGGCATCTCATAGGGTTCCAACTCAAGTCCAGGCTGCTTCATTTATGATCCTGCTTCCTGTTAATCCACCTGGAAAAGCAGAAGATGGCCCAAGTGCTTAGGGTGAAGTTGCTTATTTTGGCCTGCCTCAGCCCTGACCAGTTTGGCTCTTTGGGGAGTAAACGAGCAAATCAAAGAGCTCTTTGTCTCTCCCTCTTTCTGTATTTTTGCCTTTCAAATAAATAATATCTTTAAAAGAAAAAATTAAATTGTAATACTAGAATTAAAAATATAACACATCTGTAATAGAAGCATTTTTCAACTTGACATCATCTTGATTTGATAATCATAATTTTTATGCCATCTTAAGTTTGTAACAACATTGTTGCTCATAGTTTATATAATTTTTGTGTATTCTCATCCTAGTGAAAACCAAAATATATTTTTAAAATCCAAAAATATAGTTAACTATGGAATCAGGTTTCAAAAATTATGATGGTTACCAATGCATTAGTAAGAGCTGCTTTTAGCCCTGAATCTACCTAGCTAGTGGTGAGAATTGAGAACTCCACTGCTTTTTGTCCCATGGTGGAATTGAAGTAGGCACAAGTTATATCAGAAAGGAAATTTTTGATTTTATTTATTCCTTTGAAAACAATAGTGTGATGAGTTAGTACAGAAGTACTAATCTAGGACCTGGTGCAATGGCTCATCTGCTTAATCCTCCCCTTCCAAGCACCAGAATCCCATAAGGGCACTGTTCCACTTCCCATCCAGCTTCCTGGTTTTAGCCTGGGAAAGCAGTCCCAAAAAGGATGACCCAAAGCCTTGGGACCCTGCACATGTGTGAGAGACCTTGAAGAAGTTCCTGGCTTAAGATCAGCTCAGCTCCGGCCATTGCAGCCACTTGGGGAGTGTACCAACAGATGGAACTCTTTGTCTCTCCTTCTCTCTGCAAATCTGCCTTTCAAATAATAATAAATCTTTTTTTAAAATGCTACTCTAGGGCTCAGTGTGGTGGCCTAGTGGCTAAAGTCCTTGCCTTGAGCATGCCAGGATCCCATTTGGATGCCGGTTCTAATCCCGGAAGCTCCACTTCCCATCCAGCTCCCTGCTTGTGACCTGGAAAAGCAGTGGAGGACGGCCCAAAGCCTTGGGATCTTGCACCCATGTGGGAGATCCAGAAGAGCTCCTGGCTTCAGATCCGTGCAGCCCCGGCCATTGTGCTCACATTGGGAGTGAATCAATGGATGGAAGATCTTCTCTGTCTCTCCTTCTCTCTGTATATCTGACTTTGCAATAAAAATAAATCTTTAAAAAAAAAGTGCTACTCTAGTGGAATCAGCAATGCTTCTTAATACAGCATATATTTATATGTAAGCATATATATGTAATCATATGTATATATGTAAATATATATATATAAAATTTAGCAGTAGGTGATACATAAAAGAAAATAAACTTACCTTTTTCCTCTACCAGGTGTTCATCTACATCATTGTGTCAATGATCTGTGGTGGATTTACATGGCCACACTGTGGGAAGAAATAAGAAAGAATAAGTTACCACCAACCAAGGATGTGTGAGGACAAGAAGTTAAAAGCAATCCATGTGACTCAAACCTTTCACTGCTGACAGATGGTGTCTGCCAGTCTCTTCACTCTTTTCACTTAAAAAAAATCTTGTTCAATGCCTCCAGATCTGTATTTGTTCTAACAGCTGATTTATTCCAGTGAACTTCAGATTAAATCATTCATTGCAGCAGTAGCCTTAAAAAGGGCTTTTTTGTGCATTGCTTTTGTGAACTAGTGCCATCTACTTAAAGAAACATTTCTGTTTGTAATCGCACAAAACTGTCACCAAGACGGAAACCACCAGTCTTAGAGCTAATAGAGTTGTGGAGGAACATCATATGTGTACTCAGAAACAGTTAAGACACAGATAGTATTGCTAATAGCTGTATTGTGATGTTGGAGAATTTTAGGTGCTTCAAAACAATATAAATGGGGAATAGATGTTATTTGAGAATTCATAATCAAATTATTGGTGCTGCTTATTTCTAGGAGCCCAGACAGATAAAATTACATATTTTTATTTCGGTCAGATAAGTACTATTTTATTAGCCCTTTAGAGGCACAGAGAATTCTCCTTGTCCTTCTAGATTCTGTATTCACTTTCAGGAATAAAGTTCAGTGTGCTGATCACTCACAATACAGTAGATAGCTTGATATTCTCTACTTCTCTATTGCAATTGATGTGAGAGAATTATTGTTTAAGCATTGTTGACAGTTGTGCTATGTGTGTACATATATAAACATACATATGTGTGTGTGTGTATAAACTGCTGATATTTAGGGTAACTGTAATGTTAATTAAAGGGATGTTAGAGTGCAGAAGAAAATTTCTCTGATTCACCAAAGAAAAAGAAAGGAACCACAGTTGATATGCTAGCATTTGAGCAGTAAAAGAGGGATAGTGTGGAAAAATTTGTTCATTCTGAAAAAGCCCTAACTAAATATAGTCAGCAATCAGCTCCAGAGTTAGTGTTTGATTCCTGTTGCATAGTTTGAGCATCCTTCATTGCTTAATATTGTTTTTAATCTGCCTAACTTTTGGAGTTATTTTGGGAAATCTGAAAGAAACAGTATGATGTATATAAACAATAGACAGTTTAATATCCATTCTGCATTGTGAGAAAATTTGACCTTGATCATGCTGTTTAGCTTCTCTAGCATCTGTTACCTGGTATTTGGTGTGTAACTGAAAGGAAAACATATTTTATCAATAAGTGCCATTAAGTGGAAGTTACATTACAAGTTACTCTTCCCAATGAAAGAACCAGTAAATGTATGTAACTTAGTCGCCTGTTTAGCCTAGTCATGTACTTTGAATGTGTCCCATAATCTTGCTTGTGGTTCCTGTTCTTTTGACCTTTAAATTCATGCTTTCTTAATCATTTATTTCATATATTGCTTTACATCCACTACAAACTACTTTTCTTCTGGATCTTACATACTGCAAATATTGTGTCCCATCTTTATCAACACTAATGCCTTGTAACTCTTTATCAGCATTTTCCTTTTGTAAAGTATATTTGTCAAGAAAAACATTTGGCATTCCTAAGTAATAATTTCCAAATTTGTCTAATCAAAGGAAAAACAGTTTGTTTCCCTTTCTTATACACACCTGAACAAATTTGATGTTGATGTGCATGTTTTAAGGGTCAGCTACTTAACTGTTCCTTGGTTTATTTATGTATAATAATGCTTTTTAAAGCACATGTCTTATTGTAAATTATGCACAAAAACATTAATAAAACTTAAGAGTAATACAGTGAGTTTCTTGTTCTACAAATTCTTTTGACATTTTTACCACAGTATATACAACAAAAACATTTTGTTTATGTTGGAAACATATTAAGAAATGTTGTCTGGATCCTTTCAGTAAAGATTTATAACATAGACTGAGGTTGGGGTTCAGGTTCGGGTTCAGGTTCGGGTTCGGGTTAGAGGTACGGGTTAGGGTTTGGGGTTCAGGGATTGGGGTTAGGGTTAGGGGTTCGGGGTTGGGGTTACGGTTAGGGGTTCGTGGTTAGGGTTGGGGTTAGGGATAGGGGTTAGGGTTAGGGGTTGGGGTTGGGGTTAAGGTTACAGTTAGGGTTAGGGGTAGGGTTAGGGATTAGGGTTAGGGGTTAGGGTTAGGGGTAGGGGTAGGGTTAGGGGAGAAAGGGAGGCCTCAGAGAGACTTCCACCATCACTGGTCTCCAGTTGGTGCCTCAATCTCAGACCCTTGTTGTGTCCCATGTTCCTGGAGCAGCCGGCCATAACAGAGCAGCTTCCCGGTGGATGGGCTGCAGAGAGGGCTTCATGTATTTTTACATGTGGGGTGGAGTTTCAGAAGGCCGACTCCACTCGGCCTTCCTCTGCCTAGGTGGGTGGTGCCTGGGCATGGGGCTCATAAGCCAGGAGCAGGTGGATGGGTAAGTAGGCACCAGAGGTCACCAGCCATCTGGAATAGGAGGTCCCAGGTCCTAGCTGCTCTGAGAGCACCCTGGAACATGCAGTCCTGCTGCCCAGCAGGTATGACGGTGGCTGGGGAGCCACCAAGGCCTGCACAACAGAGGGCTTTCAGGGCCTGTGCTCCCTGCACAGGAGAGGGTGCGCAAAGCTGCCCTTTCTACCCCTAGCTAGCATTTGAGGGCTCAGGCATCCCTGTCATGTGCTTTTGAGGCAGGAATTTGGCCCCACAGCCTCCAGCCAGATGCTGCTGCCCTCTCGTTCACCAGGGAGTGCTTCACCCTCCTCCAGGGATCATCCTGGACTCAAGACTCTTTCTCCTGCAGGTCAGCTGTGCACCATCGGCCGCCACTGATGTGCCACCTGCCACAGGACACCCCAACAGCTGACGTCTGTTCTGCACAGAGGTCCTTCTCACCAGGACAGGTAGAGTAGCAACATGCCTGGATTCCTCATCTGTACCGGCCGCTCTCACAGCACGCAATGGCATATGTTGTGCAAACCAGGCAGGCAGGCAGGAACCTTCTCTGGTCTTAGTGAAGGAGCTGCTGAAGGAACCGTCAGGGGCTAGAGTCGGGTGGTGCGTAGTGGCGCAGGGTGTTGTCCCAGTGGGTCAAGCCTCAGCCTGCCAGGCAGATGGGCTGTATGGGTGCTGTTTCAAATCCTGGCTGCTTCCCCTGCGGTCCAGCTCCCTGCCGATCAACCTGGGAGAGTAGCAGAGGATGGTGCAGGTTGAAGGTTGAAGTGATTCTGGAAGTGAGCTTGGTGACAATGATAACTGATGTAGAAGGAGCCTCTGTGCTTGTGGCTTTGGCAGTAGCCATGGGAGTAATGGATGTGGTGAAAGTAGAGACAGTCACCATGATGGTGAAAGTTACAGTAAATCTGGCCATTAGAACAGGCGGACATCAGATTTTGTATCCATAAAAGGAGGAAGCTTTGGAAGCAGAAATCCTGACACTTTGAAAATAGCAACCAGTATTTTGCCAAACCATGAAATCAAGATGGTTATGGTAGTTCAAGCAGTAGCTGTGTCAGTCGCAGTTTTTAATGGCTGCCAGAAAATAATAGAAGTGGCAGGGAAGATACAGGTTGTAACAGATTTATGAACTCAGTTAAATCCAGTGGTGGTATAATACTCATATGTATAGCAAAGAAATCTTAAGTTCTGAATTTGTGATTAATATATAACAACTTATTTTAGTTTCTATTTTGGTGAAAGCATGTCAACAAAACCTTTAATGTAGTTTTATGTTTTCTGTATCATGCTATTGATGGTTAAATGTAATAATGTTATCATGGCACTGACTAAAGGTGTCTTTTGAAAAAAAAAAATTAGGACTAAGGTGGGATTATATGAAGAAATCACAGGACCTATTTAACAAGTCAGTAGTTTCATAGGACTACTATAACAAAATGCTTGTCAGGCATTCCTAATCAAAAATCTGAAATCCTGCTGAATCCAGAAATTTTTGATGTTGTGTCTTAATGTTTGGGTGAGAAGGTGAGAATGCCATCCTTTCTTTGGAACTCTCCTTACTGGTGCCCCCACCATCTTCATCATCCCATCTGTCACACTCAGTCCTGTGGCTTCTCTGAACTTTTGTTCCTTTGTGTGCTTCCCAACTCGCTGCATTTGTGTTTCCGCATCTGTCTTTCCTTTTGTCCTTCACTTTTGAGGTTATAAAGCCGTATTTGAAAATAAGCCTATGTGTGTCTTAGTCTCCATTTTTCCATTTTCACTTTAATATTTACTTATATAAAGTTTATCTTTTGTTTTTAGATTGTGCTACTGGAGTAGAAATTAGTTTCCAGTAAGAGCATTTCTAAAGATGAACAGAAAGGAATGAAAATGAAAGAAACAGCAAGGAATGATCTGTGGTATTTGTCATTAGAAGAGGTCTGCACAACTGAAGACCAAGTGGACAGGTATCAGCAAAACCAAGAGAGACCTTTGAGGCAGGTGGTATTCACCCAGAAGAAATTACTTACTCAGGAGAGAGTCTCTGGAAGTGGTGAATATGGAGGAAACTGTCTCCTTCCTGCTCAGCTCGTACTGAGGGAATATTTCCATAGACATGATTCACATCCTAAAAGTTTACACCATGATTTACTTTGTAATGGTTATCAGGAAAGCTGTGCAGGTAACAGTAATAAATGTGATCAAAACTTCAGTCAAAACTTTCACCTTATCCAATACACAGAAGACAATGCCTGCAAGTGTCTTGATCAGGATAATTCTCTTAGTCATGATTCATCTCTTGTGATATCAAAGGTCATACACAGAGAAAAACCATATGAATGTAAAGAATGTGGAAAGTTCTTCAGCTGGCGCTCTAATCTGACCAGGCACCAGCTCATTCATACTGGACAGAAACCCTATGAATGTAAAGAATGTGGGAAATCTTTCAGACAGAGCACACATCTCATTCTTCACCAGAGAATTCATGTGAGAGTGAGGCCCTATGAGTGTAATGAATGTGGAAAGTCTTACAGCCAGAGGTCTCACCTTGTTGTGCATAATAGAATTCACACTGGACTAAAACCTTTTGAGTGTAAAGACTGTGGGAAATGTTTTAGTCGAAGCTCTCACCTTTTCTCACATCAGAGAACCCACACTGGAGAGAAACCTTATGAATGTCATGATTGTGGGAAATCCTTCAGCCAGAGTTCTGCCCTTATTGTGCATCAGAGAATTCATACTGGAGAAAAACCGTATGAATGTCATCAGTGTAGGAAAGCCTTCATCCGGAAGAATGACCTCATTAAGCATCAGAGAATTCATGTTGGAGAAGAGACCTATAAATGTAGTCAGTGTGGCATTATCTTCAGCGAGAATTCTCCATTTATAGTACATGAAATATCTCATACTGGAGAGCAGTTCTTAAAGTGCAATCAGTGTGGGGCAGTGCTCGTTAAGAGCCCTCACCTTACTAAACATCAGACAAACCACTAATGAAGACCTTAATACCACAAATAAAGAAAACTCCCGAGGAATGATGTTTTTGTGTTACAGATGTTCTGGAGAGAAGCTGTAGAAACACGATGTGTGTGGAAATGCTTGTTATTACTGTAGTGCACATTGGAGAATTTGTCTTGGGGTGGGGAGCTGCACAAACATTTCAGAAACACTTCAGATTTTCTATTTTCATGAATATCTGCTAAAGTAATTGGGATGGGAATGTTCTTAACTAAACTTTTAAGTGCTAAACCTGAGAAGGAATCATAAAGTGGATGTTGAACAAATGTAACCCAGCTTCAATACAATGAGTAAATGTGTCACTGAAGGGAACACTTTGCTGAGAATTAATAAATTGGTAGCCATTACTGCATCGAGAGAAGTAGCCGTCCAGTGAATTATTATGGCATTGTGCCTTTCTTCTGGGGCACTTGGTGCTTGGTTTACGTGTCTTGTATCAACCACATCTTGATGAGAAGCACTGGAAATGCCTATAATATAAAAACATTTACATTTACACTTGTTAAAAATTCCATGTTTAAACATTTGTGTATGGACATTTGGCATAACATTTTACACTTGTTGGACTGCTATGTCCCATATCAGAGGATCTGGGTTTGAATCCTGGCTCTTCTACTAATTCCAGCTTCCTATTGGTACATAGTCTGAGCAGTGAGGGGTGATGGCTCTCTTAGCTGGGTACCTGCCACTCACATGGGAGACCTAGGTAAGTGCCTGGCTTTTAGGGGCATTTAGGGATTGCACCAATATGTGGAATGTATCTCTTCCCAGCTTTCAGATATGTTTGCATGGGAGCAAAGATTGAAAGTATAAAAAAATGAATTGAGAGTTGTTAGAGGAATTATGAGTTTTACATTCTAGTGCTGCTGTAGTAATTATTTTAAGATGTTTTCAAATACTCAGAAGGTGATCTGATATTGTCTATACTATTAAGGAATCTCGAGAACCACCTGCTGGCAAACTTGGGCCACAGAATTAGTCTTTTGAGACCTGGCACCCAAGGCTCTAGGAATTTAACAGTAATTGATTCTTGACACCTAGAGGAGTATTGGGCATGTGGATAGATCAAGGCTCAACTTGAGTGGAATTTGGTGCCTGGAAATGTTGAACTATGGTGCTCAGGAGGTAGCAGCTCTGTCCAAAGGCATCCTTTTTCTCAAGGCTGTCTATAGAGGAAATACTGGGCTGAGAGTAGAGACCTGAGCTACACTTCTCAGGGTTAAATCCTGCCTCTGCACCATGTAGCAGAGTGATCTTGGGCATGCTGCTTGATTTGTACTTAGCCAAAACTTTCCATGAAGTAGAAACAATGATGTACTTACTTCCTGTGCTGTGGT